CTGACATCGCCATAACATAATACAAATGCAAAAGTTTAACGGTCATATAAAAATGTTAAAATTTCAATTAACTTCATTGTTCCTGTCCTGGAGTGGTAACAACAGACACTGGACAAAATCATCTCTCTATATTAACAGACTCAGTTTTTTGTTTCAAAAATCTGTTTGTTAAGTAATATCATCTGTGCCTTTATCAGCATGTGATAACAGATTTACAGCTCTACTAAACCAGTATTTAATCTAATAATGAACAGTAAATTTCAAACTATATTTCTTCTCTAAAATTAGAGAATCCTATGATGCTATATCTATTTTTAACTATGACTCGACTTATAATTTCTATTAATTGTGCAAAACAGCTCTGATTTTTAATATTTTTTATAGCATAGTATCTGACACAGAATGAATGTGGTATAAGTACATGTACTTAAATAATTCTAAATTGGATATTTACCAATTATGGTCCAATCTCCAAAATCTAAATACATGGTTGGAATCAGCATATCAAAGAACCCCAAGCATTCAATTTTTGAAGAAATCAAACAAAGTTTAATTTTGGACCCTGTGGACCAATTTGATAACGGAACCCACAATCTAAAATCTAACTCAATGCTTAGATTCAGCATATCAAAGAACCCATATATTCAATTTTTGTTGAAATCAAACAAAGTTTAATTTTGGACCCCGGTTTGGACCAACTTGAAAACTGTGCCCAAATTGAAAAGTTTAAATACAAAAAAGTCTGTTAGATTGGGCATATCAAAAGACCCTTTATATGGACCAATTCAAAAACAGGGCCCAAAATCCAAATTCTAAATGACAGATAGATTCAGCCTATTAAAGAACCCCAAGAATTCAAGACTGTGAATTAAACTCCATTGTAATTGGTCAAGAAATAAGCAATTTATACAAAGTACATGTATAACAAAAGTTTTGTTTTTGGACCCTTTTTCCTAAACCATTAGGGTCATAAACCCCAAAATCAATCCCAACCTTCCATTTAAAATATAAAACTTTGTGGCACAATTAAATAGCAATCCATAGACTTATACTTAAGTTATTGTCCAGAAACCAGAAAATCCTAGTTTTTTGCTCCTTTTCGGTCCCTAATCAATGCCAAAATTTCTCTTGAGGTATGGAACCTTGTGGTAAAATTTCATAGAGATCCATACACAAGTTATTGTCCTGAAACAAGAAAAATGCTTGTTTTTGGCCCATAATTACTAAACAGCTATGAAATAACCCCCAAAATCAATCACAACCTTACTATTGTGGTATGGAACCTTGTGCTAAAATTTCATAGAGATCAATACACTTATACTCAAGGTATTGTCAGCAAACCAAAATTTCTTTGGACGACAAGAAAAATGCTTGTTTTTGGCCCCTAATTACTAAACAGCTCTGACAATAACCCCCAAAATCAACCCCTACCTTCCTATTGTGGTATGGAACCTTGTGCTAAAATTTCATAGAGATCCATACACTTATACTCTATTGTCTGCGAACCAAAATGTCTTCGGACAACGAGGTAGACATCGCCATAGCATAATACGAATGCAAAATTTTTTCGGTCTTATAAAAACAATTTAGAGAAATACTTGTCATACTAGAATAAATATTTATAAAATTTATAAAAGCAAGCGGATAAAAACATTGTACATGCATATAAATTGATATTATGTTCAGAAAGTTAAAAAAAAAGTATAGACAGTGGAATAAAACATTTATTTCCCTTGACTGAGGGAGATATGAAGATTTGTTCACCCTCAAAAAGTCATATTTCCCTCAGGCAATGCCCTCGGGAAACATGAATTTTATCGGTTAAACAAATCTTCATATGTCCCTCAGAAAAGAGAAATAAATGTATGATATTTAATGTTGATATCTGATATTCTGGGCACCAAATTGCATGCAATAACAACAGGCTGTCAGGGAGACAGCAAAGCGGATTTTCCTGCAGAGGTCAAACCCTGAACAGTTGAGCAAATATGGATACAACATTTAAGCTTAAAACAGCTCTAAATTTGGATTGTGTCTGAATATTTGATATAGTATAGGTCTGTTACACAAAATAAATTTGGTCAAAAACTGAAAAATTTGAAATTGGACATTTACCTATTATGGTCCAATATCCAAAATCTAAGTACATTGCTAGAATCAGCATATCAAAGAACCACAAGAATTCAATTTTTGATGAATTAATTCTTAGTTAAACCATTTCTGTTCAAAGGGAAATAACTCAAACCTTATTTCTATGAACCAATAATGTTAATCTATAATTGAATATGATTTAATCATAGTTCTAAAAAATTAGATATGATGTTATATTTATTTTCAAATTATAAACAAATATAATTAATAGTTTTCAAATAAATTTGTCACTCCAATTATAATTGAGTGATTGACAATTACCAGATGGTGTGTTATCTTGATAAAAGGTCAATAGATATAGGAAGATGTGGTATGAGTGCCAATGAGACAACTCTCCATCCAAGTTACAATTTATAAAAGTAAACCATTATAGGTCAAGGTACAAAATCATTTAAAAACACTTAGTGTAATCAAACTTTATATATATAGTTAATAGTTCCCAATATTTTTTCTTTCATTTGTAACAAACTAATATATATCTGCGACTTATCTATCATTCATCTACACAATGTAATGTAATGAAATATATCCTATAATAAAATAAATGTGGATAGTGTCCACATGTGGACACAGATGATGCCCCCGCTTGCATATCATATAGTTATAAAGGGACATAACTGAAGAACAGTAAAAGTGACGCTACCCAAATTTGAACTTGATCTGAGTTTTGTGATAATAAGCATTGTGTGTAAGTCTCCTAACATTTGGTTGAGGCTAACTTAAGTAGAGAACAGAAACAAAAAATTCAGCAATTTTTCTATTTGTAAACACGCATAACTCTAGAACGGTTGTGTATAAGTTTTATAACATTTGGTTGAGACAAACTAAATTAGAGAACGGAAATGAAAAATTCAGCAATTTTTATGTTTATAAAGGGACATAACTCAAGAATGGTAAAAGTGTCGCCACCAAATTTCGTACTTAATCTGTATTATGTAGTAATAAGCATTGTGTAAAAGTTTCATAACATTTGGTTGAGGCAAATTAAAGTTAGAAAACGGAAACACAAAATTAGTACTTGATCTTAGTTTTGTGGTAATGAATATTGTGTATAGGTTTCATAATGTTTGGTTGGAGCAAACTTAAGTTACAGAATTTAAACTAAAAATTTTGCAATCTTTCGATTTTTAAAGGGGCATAACTCAATAATGGTTAAAGTGACACTACCCAAATTCAACTTGATCTGTGTTTTATCAGTGGAAGTCAAAATTAAACATTGCATTGTATATAGCATTGATTTTAGTTGATTCAACTATAATCATGGACAAAGGAAGATAACTCCAATTTTAAAAATTACTTGATATTTAGAAGAAAATAAAAATTTTGCAATTTTTCCATTTATAAAGGGGCATAACTCTAGAACAGTTAAAGTGACACCACCAAAATTCAAACTTGATCTGTGTTTTGTGGTAATTAGCATTGTGTATAAGTTTCATAAAATTTGGTTGAGGCAAACTTAAGAAAGAGAACGTAAACTAAAAATTTTGCAACTTTTCCATTTATAAAGGGGCATAACTCTAGAACAGTTAAAGTGACACCACCAAAATTCAAACTTGATCTGTGTTTTGTGGTAATAAACATTGTGTATAAGTTTCATAATATTATGGTTGAGGCAAACTCAAGTTAGAGAACGGAAACCAATTTGGGACGTTCGTACAGACGGACAAGGGTAAAACTTAATGCCCCCACCACTACGGCGGGGACATAAAAAGATTATTATCTAATGAATTTGCAAATTAGGAACCCCAAACAGGATCAAGTAAAATATATGATTCAACCACTAAAAATAGTTCTCTAAAATTAGATATTATGTTACACTATATCTATTTTCAAATTATAATCAAATATAATTAATAGTTCCAAATATTTCTCTTTCATTTGTCACAAACTAATAAAGATCTGCAACTTATCTATCAACTTTATCTACACAATGTAATGTAATGTAATGAAATACATCCTAATAAAAATAGATTATTATCTAATTAAAGGAGTTCACTTCATTAAAAAAAAATTATATATATAGCATTCAGAAAACTAATTTATACAGAATAACAAACAAACCTACCACAAAATTCTTCACACAATTTACCAAATAAAAGAAAAAAAAATCCAAAATGTCATTTATCATTAATTAATACAATATGTCTTTTAAAAATCTTTTAAAAAATGAGTTATTTCCCTTTGTACAGAAATTGAGTAATTCATCAATAATTGAATTCTTGAGAAAGGGCTGTAACTCAACAATGAGAAAAGCTAGCATCATGAAAATTGAACTTGACCTTCATTTAGTAACAGGAAACAACATATCTAAATTTGAAAAAATTTCTTTAAAGCGTTTTCATGTAAATGAACGGACACTGTTTGGCAGCCACCCGCCCGCCGTACATCCCAAAATCAATAACTGATTTTTACTTCGAAAATTCAGTTAAAAACTGAACGCCTCGAATTATCACAATAGTGCTGAAAGTGGCGTTAATCAACAATCAATCAATCAATGTTAACTAACTTCATTTTATACTGTTTGATAAAGACTTTTCAGATTTCAGACCTTTCAGAAAAATAATTAACTTAACAGTGTGCCTGTTATACATTTAATCTTCAGTGTATTATCAGTAAGATTGCTCTTTTTTTTTGTAACTTTAACAGGATATTGGAAATAAATTGTATTGAATTTAATAAAAATGTCATCCAATTTGAAAATAAAATATGAAAATAATTCACAGCAAATATTTCATGTGCATCTACATGTAGCTAATATTTATTATACAAATTTAAATTGCTGATCATCAAAATCATAAAATGGGGTTAAACATGTAAGATAAGAAGCAAAACAATAATATTATATATACCTGCCAATGCAGGTCTACATATATAAGGTATCTCATCAATATCTTTACTTTTGACACTTCATGATCATGATGATACACAAGAAGCTGGAAAAAAGAAAATTCAAATGATTTGTTACCATGCAGGCAGTAAAAAGTGCACATGTACATTGTTACGTTTCAACAATATTTGTGTAAACTACTGATTGATATTTAGTAATGCTGAGGATAATTTAAATCTATAACATTGTCATGATTGTCAATCAACAAATAATTTCAAATCATTTTATGAATTTAACTGACATGTGTCTTAAACAAGCATACATATATACATGATATAGGAAAGGCTTCATTTTTACTGATTTTTATGACATCATGTTGAGTGTAACATTCAAAGTCCCTGTCCATTAAGTATATATTCACAATAACTACTTTGAGAATTTGAAAACCAACAATATATAACAAGTGTCCAAATAACATTTTAAGTCACAAGGTATAAATTTTCAGTATGAGAATTCAATAGGTACATGTAGTTATTCTGTTAATACCATATATTACATTGATTTAAATTAAGATACTCAATAAACCAGAGCAAATTATGTTTTTATGTCACCATGAACAGCTGTTTGTATAGCTTGATAAAGTTGACAATAGAATTGTTGTTTCTCTTCCTAGAGTGAAATAAACACTGATATTTCACATGTAAGATCACTTCGAAAATCACAGCGCTTTAGTCACTATGAATGTAATTCAATTTAATTTAAAGCTTTGACTAGAGTGACGTGTACTGTTACATATACACATATGCATTTCGATATACATGTCGATGATGTGAATATTTGTCCATTATATATACATGTATAATATACATATAGTCGACTCTCGTTATCTCGAAGTCAGCCGGACCAGAGAAATATTTCGAGATACCCGTAGTTCAACTCAAACGAAAACCGGAAGTTTGACAGACCAAGGGACACAACTCTTGCTTAGCTTGCTAAAGCTAAAATAAATCCGGATGAATATGGGAAGGGGATCGATATTCTGGTCTCATATCGATGGATTTGTATGTTATGGTCTTTCATTATTATAATAACATTGTTTTCACTTATTTAATTATTTTCTTTGAACAGTTACAATTTTTCCCTGTGGCTTTTATCCGAGAGAGTAATTTCCAATCGATCTTAGCGTTATTTAAGTCATTTCAATTTGACAAAATTGTTAATTCTCGGATACAAGAGATTTTAGAAATTTAGATATATTTTTATTTTCTTTTATCTCAATCTTTCTTTTAAAGAAAAAATACAAAAAGATAAAAGACGCCGATTCAGTAGTTTTTATGTGATCACCAACAGAAGTCTTAATCCCCACTTTATACACATCCAAGCTCATCAGTGTAAATCACGATTAATTTAATTAATTTTTTTTGTAAACATTTTAAATAATTTTTCATAGACTTTAACAATGTATCACTAATTATTTATCATGGTGATAAAAGATAATCTTAGGTAAACACTCATGGAAATAGAATGTCAAAAATCAATACAGTGGTCAGTGACCGGAAATTTAATTACACGTGTATTGTCAGGTTAACTCTTCAATCCATTTAAATCCCGGAGGTCATGTTTTGACATATGTGTATAAGTTTGAGATAAATAATGAATTTTGAATGCTTTTGTTAACCTTGGGACCGTAAATTTAGTTCGACTCAACCGAAATTTCGACTCATCCAATTTCGACTCATCAGGAGTTGAAATACATATATTTATATGGAACAAAGTTTGGGACCACGAGAAAACTTCGACTCATCCGAAATTTCGAATCAACCTAGTTCGAGACAACGAAAGTTAACTGTACATTCAAGTTTAGACACTGTTTATACATTAAGAGTTAATACAGAAAATTGTAAATTGGGTTCTGTATAACAGTTTCAATGATAATGGTGATCTCGGAATCGTCCCTTCACCCGTCCCCACCCCACATCAATAACTTCAGGAAATATGTTTTACTTACCGAGTTCCAACAGTTAAAATGATTCCATATTGTTTTTGTGTCACAAGTGTGTCTCCTACTGACAGGTGTTTAGAACATTTTCTTTTTCCACCAGAAACTGCTCGACCCGATCCCTTCTTTGAATGGTCTACATTTGGGTGTGTACTTATTGCCCTGGATACCATGCAGAGCTCTCCTCTTCCTTATTTCATTTTGATTGAGCAATTGTTTGGAATGTGTTAAACATTACGGAAAATTCAGACATTTCAAAATTGTTTGGTAAAATATCTACTTCAGTTAAAATTATCAGAATATCTGATTGATGAAATGATTTTTATTTCACAAGTTCAGTTGAGAATTGGGAATGTTTTAAACAGTCTTGTTTATGGTAAACATAACACATTCCATTGTGTTTATAGTACTTTAGAATACATTTTGTCATCATCCTATGTGGAATACACCTTATCGCTATTTAGTCCAAATGGAAAAAACAGTCGCTTAGACAACTTTCTGTTTGGGTCAAGTGGCCCATAAACAAATATCACCAGTTACGAGCTGAGGAAAGAAAAAGTTGTGTAATTTCAAAACCTTATCCAAATGGAATAAATAGCGATAAGGTGTATTGTTTTCTGTAGACATACATAAAAGATTTGTGTCTTCTTGTCTGAAGAGTACTTCAGGGGAAGCTACTCCTGCTACACAGAGTTAATTAAAAGGGGTTTTTAATTGTGATTTTAGAATACAGCAGTTGTTATACTTAATTTGAGAACATTTATTTTTTCTGAGAGCAGGGTTAATTAAGTATTTTCAGACAAATAAATCATTTGTATTAATTTCAATATTCTATTTGTAGCAATATTAGAAACAGTAATTTCACAAACCATGGGTTCGGAAAAATTAAATTATGCAAAATTTTTAGATATACCCCTCCCAATTTTTTGTATTCTGATTTATCAATGGTTAAACTATTAAAAAACTATTTTGGTCATGTCTGGAAAATCTGGGTTGAAAATTTTCAAAGCTTTCAATACAGGTTTAAATCGGACTCCCAATACACAAGGAATTTGACACTTTTTATGGATAAGTTCTTGACATAAATGCTAAATAATATATTTTTCTAAGTGCATTTTTTAAATATGACATAACCATACTTAGTCATAACAACAAACATAATTTTCTTTTTTATTCTCTAAAAGGCCATATACATCCAATTGTAATTGCATATTTTAAACCTTTTTTACTTACAAAAATGGACCAAAAGTGTTCTTGCAAAATTTTATGTCAAACTTGATGTTTATTTCGGTATATCTCAATGGTTAGAACATTTTTACAAATTTTGAACCAATTGTGTGACATGTCATTTCCACATGATTTTGATGCTTTCAGAGAATGACTCTTAATATTTATGAATTTGTGCTTTTTTATACATAATGAACATAATATCAATTTTTCATTTTTTTGCGATTTTTCCCTTTAAATACAGTTTTGTTGGGTTTTTCTTTATTTAGAAAAAATTACTGGTCCAAAATGGATTTTACCTTCCTTTAAAGCCAGTGTCTAACAAACCTTATAAATGACAGAATACTGTCAATCTGAAGTTCATAAATTAGGAAATATAACAGATAGAATTACCTTTCAATAGCGATATCAATATTATCCTCTGCTATACTAACAACTGTACCATTGCATAGAGCTAAATGATTGGTCTTTTCTATTGATATAATCATGTAGTCCTGTACAGCTATACCTATCATGTTAATGTTGGTGGAAGATAGCCTGATAAAATATAGAAAAATTACTACCAACTGGTTCATTTAGTTCTCTGTTGAATTCTTTAGTTGATAAGAATATTGGTAACTAACAATCTCCCCAACATAAGCTTATTATTATACAGCATTACAACCAAATAAAAATAAAAGGATATGGAGTATACATCAATGAGACAGCAAGTCAATGACACAAAAATAACTAAAAGACTTCATGACGTAAACATACTGTCTTCAACAGTTAAGACAAATAGACAATCACATGTATACAATGTGCAGGGTGTCAAGTCTGTTTGGCCTACAATTATATAGGAAATTATAGGGTAAATTTAGGGTATTTACATCCTTTAATTTAGGTGTAATACCACCAAATCATAGTACGTCACATCCACTTTCATATAAAAAAGGGTCGAAAAAAAATATTCCCTTGAATTTGACAGTTGTAGGAAGTTAACCCTGCATTTCATTGCAGAAAAAATATTTCTGAGTCATAAAATTATATCTTCAGTGTTACAAAGCACCATTCTTTTTTTTCAGTGGTGTTTCTATAAAATATTTTTGGAAACTTGAGGTGACATGGTTACTAAAGCTTGTAAAAGGAAAAAAAGGGTTGAAAATTTGATTGGTTTACTTCCGGTGATGGTTTTGATCTTATATGCAATGAAATGTTATGTGCAATTTTCACTGTAGTACTGGCTAGCATTTTACAAAGAATCGTACGATTTACGTTTACGATTAAACTTACGTTAAGCGTGAGATTTTACCTACGAGTGTTTCACAAAGGTGATTGTAAACGTAAAGTAAACATAATGTGATAATGGACATCATACTAAACTCCAAATTATACACAAGAAACTAAAATTAAAAATGATACAAGACTAACAAAAGCCAGAGGCTCCTGACTTGGGACAGGCGCAAAAATGCGGCAGGGTTTAACATGTTTTTTGAGATCTCAACCCTCCCCCTATACCTCTAGCCAATGTAGAAAAAACAAACGTACAACAGTATGCACAGTAAAACTCAGTTTAAGAGAAGTCTGAGTCCAATGTCAGAATAGGAAACAAAAGAAAATAAACAAAATGACAATAATACATAAATAACAACAGACTACTAGCAGTTACTGACATGCCAGCTCCAGACCTCAATTAAACTGATTGAAAGATTATGTCTTCATCATATGAATATCAGGCACAATCCTTCCTGTTAGGGGTTTAGTATTATACCATCATAAAATATATGAGAAGAACATAACCCGTGTCATGCCAACAACTGGTTTTAGAATAAATATGTTTAATTCCGATGCAAAGACCCTATAAGTGAATCAATATTAAAGCCAAAATATGCAATCTTTAATGACCTGACAACAGTATTGTAACTATATCGATATCCCTTCTTAATAAGTCTGTTTAAAGGTTTTATTAGCTTTTGATGTGAATACTGACATTTTTGTGCTTTGTAAAGAATATTACCATAAAAGATTGGATGTGAAATACCTGAACGTATAAGATATCTGCATGTTGAGTTATATTTACGAATGATGTCCTTATACCGATGATAAAATTTAGTAAATGTTTTGACTAGTTTATGATATTGAAAACCCTGGTGTAATAATTTTTCAGTAATACATAAATTTCTCTCGCTGAAATCTAATATGTTGTTACATACACGAGCGAATCGTACAAGTTTGTTTGTATGGTAAATGGTTTTGTGAGGTAAACATGGTAAGTATCCCGTCTAGTTTAAAGATGTTTTTTTGCTTTGGTTTTATTAGAAAAAATTGGCTGGTGGTGTTTTTTTTCCAAGCCGAGCGCGTCTGTTATTGCTGTTGTTGAAGAATGTTGAAGTCATAAAAAAAAACCAAACAAATTTATTAGGACTTCGACATTTCTTGAATCCAAATCAATATGAATTTCTAAATGGTTAACACGAAATTATACGTATCTTCAAATGTTAATAATAAATGAACTGGTATAAAATTTGTTAAGCCTTGTGATTCTGATGCATGTCTAGGCTTTTTAAAGAGGAACCTACTGACAATACAACATTAAGACTTGTACATGTAAAAAGTATCTGCATATTTTCATTTCATCTATTATAATGCTACTGTGTCATCCAAAAATATGGTCATCAGAAAAAAAGAAAAAAAAAGCGTTTGGTAAAGCATTTTTTATTTATTTTCATTATTTCCTATATTGTTCTATAAACATTGTTCTAAGTAATTCTGTAAAAAAATATACATTAAAAAGTAAACGTTTTTTGAAACAGTAACAACACATTATTTACTAAAAGGATCTATTACATGTTCCTCTCTTGAACTCTGAGTAAACACAAGATATAGGTTAGGCCTTATTGCACAGTGCCTTATTGAAACCTATGACCATGCAGTCGATAAACTTTTATAACGGATAGTTAATTCAGCTTGAACATTTCAATTACTCATTTATTGTCACATATCTTACATATACATAATGTGTGATAGTAACCCCAAAATTTTGATTTATTAACCTAAAAAGTAAAAATTTGGAGGACATTAGAGGTATAAATGGACCAATAGGGATCTTATATGAAAACAAAGAGGAACATTAGTGGTTTTTATCATCTTAGAAACCTCTCTGCTTTGGATTATTTAAAAACAGAAGCAGTTGAGATGATGAAAAATTTTTACAATAAAAAATTCAATCGTCCATGCAAAAATTCAATGCTGCTCACGGTGACTTAAAAAATCAGATGTAAATCAAAATCAAGCAGAATTAGACACTTATGAAGCTCTTGAAATGCAAGGTATAGGAGATGAGGAAATTAAATCTTCAGATGAGTTAAGAGAGGGCTTACATAGGCTATGCCTGTTGCCCAATCCAATTCAATTTATTTGAACAAAATACTGTTTAAACTAAATAACTGTTAAGCTTTTAGGTCCTGAGGGTTATGTTAATATTTGATCAGTCAGGGGCGGATCCAGCCATTTATAAAAAGTGTGTGGGGGGTTCTAACCCAGACTAAAGTGGGGTTCCAACTATATGTCCTCATTCAAATGCATTGATCGTCAGAAAAAAGGGGGGTTCCAACCCCCAGAACCCTCCCCTGGATCCAGCACTGTCAGTGAACTTGATTTTTTTAGTTACATATACAGAACATAAATTTGTTAAATGGTGGTAAAACCTTTTTTTATTTGTAATGCCCTTCTTTACTTAAAATATATTTTGAACCCCCTTGAAATATGTAAACTACTTATTTATGTGCCAAAAAAATGATCCCCCCACTTTAAATCTATAAAAAAAAAATTGAACCCCCCTTTTCCACTTACAGAAAAAAACTTGATACCTCCCTACATTTTGACCAGCCCCCTCCCAGGTAAAAAAAAATAAGTCCCTAAATGTCTACGTATTTTTTATTAATTTTTTTTGTATCTGGGGGTTGTAGTTTTCCAAGAATTTTTATTCATTAATTTTTTTTGTATCTGGGGGTTGTAGTTTTCCAAGAATTTTTATTGATTTTTTTAATTTGTGTATCTATAAAGGGCGAATCTTAACTCCCGCTGATGCACACCTGTTTGCCTTAATTACTTTACAATTGTGCTATGGCCGTAATTCAATGTAACTATAACTAGAGGCTCTCAAGAGCCTGTGTTGCTCACCTGTATTTACTGATGCTTTGGAAATCATGTAAAATAAGGTTAAAATCATAATTAATAGTATTATATATTAGATATTATAATGATACCTAAGATAATAACAAAAAACGGATTCGTCTGAAAATTTCAGGGCAGATAAATCTAAATCTGATGAACATATTTGCCACCTGTCAGATTTGCTCTAAATGCTTTAGTTTCAGAGATATAAACCAAAAACTGCATTTTACCCCTATGTTCTATTTTTAACCAAGTCGGCCATGATGGTTGGAAGGCGGGGACCAGGTGAGCTAAAAACTGCAAAATTTCTGTAAAATTACTAACTCAGGGGCAGCAACCCAACAACGGGTTGTGGGATTTGTCTGAAAATTTCAGGGCAGATAAATCTAAATCTAATGAACATTTTTGCCACCTGTCAGATTTGCTCTAAATGCTTTAGTTTCAGAGATATAAACCAAAAACTGCATTTTACCCCTATGTTCTATTTTTAAACAAGTCGGCCATGATGGTTGGAAGGCAGGGTCATCGGACAATTTTTTTAAACAAGATACCCTAATAATGATTATGGCCAAGTATGGTTAAATTTGTCTCAGTAGTTTCAGAGAAGAAGAATTTTGCAAAAGATTACAAATATTTACCAAAAATTGTTAAAAATTGACTATAAAGGGCAATAACTCCTAAAGGGGTCGATTGACAATTTTGGTCATGATGACTCATTTGTAGATCTTACTTTGCTGAACATAATTGCTGTTTACAGTTTATCTCTATTTATAATAATATTCAAGATAATAACCAAAAACTGCAAAATTTCCTAAAAATTACCAATTCAGGGGCAGCAACCCAACAACAGGTTGTCGGATTTGTCTGAAAATTTCAGGGCAGATAGATCTTGACCTGATAATCAGTTTTACCCTATGTCAGATTTACTCTAAATGCTTTGGTTTCAGAGTTATAAGCCAAAATCTACATTTTACCCCTATGTTCTATTTTTAGCCATGGCGGCCATCTTGGTTGGTTGGCGGGGTCATCGGACACATTTTTTAAACTAGATACCCTAATGATGATTGTGGCCAAGTTTGGTTAAAATTTGGCCAAGTGGTTTCAGAGGAGAAGATTTTTGTAAAAAGCTAATGACGACGGATTTTTCCTGCATGAGGAGTATACTTTTACATTTCTGTCGTAACAATTGTCGTTTATGAACTAATATAAGTTTTGTCTTTCAACCCCAAATGAATCGACTGCCAGTGTAGATAAAAATTGTACTGCCTGATCCTCTCTCGTCAGGAAGTAAATCCCTCACTGAAGTGGTCGTCTATTCGGATGTGCTGGATGTATACATACGCAGTCATGTCCGCTTAATATGGAAAACGATGCCCTGTCAC